GAGGGCAAAGTGCCATAGAGTCCATCCTTTGAAGGGGACATTCTCTCCAGGGGGTGGGTCTCCTTCCTTCCCTCTGTCCCCTGCCTGCCACTTCCCACTTGCGGGGCCACTGCCTCCACCTTTCTGGCTTATAGGGCAACAGCATGGGGGGCATAAAAAGGATATTATAGCTTTGGAAAAAGTGTAGAAAAGGGCAACTCGAATGTTAAAAGGGTTGGAACACTTTCCCTATGAGGAAAGGTTAAAGCGCTTAGGGCTCTTAGCTTGGAGAAACGACGACTGAGGGGAGACATGATTGAGGTTTACAAGCTTATGCATGGGAAAGAGCAGGTAGAGAAAGAGGTACTTTTCTCCCTTTCTCACAATACAAGAACTCGTGGGCACTCAATGAAATTGCTGAGCGGTCGGGTTAGGACGGATAAAAGGAAGTACTTCTTCACCCAAAGAGTGATTAACATGGAATTCACTGCCACAGGAGGTGGTGGCGGCTACAAGCATGGATGGCTTCAAGAGGGAATTAGAGAAGCATATGGAGCAGGGGTCCATCAGTGGCTATTAGCCACCAGGTATAGATAGGGGCTCTGGGGCAAGTGATGCTCTGTCTTCTTGGTGCTTGGGGGGGGGGTCAACAGTGGGAGGGCTTCTAATGTCTTGGCCCCACTGGTGGACCTCCTGATGGTACCTGGTATTTCTGGCCACTGTGTGACACAGAGTGTTGGACGGGATGGGCCTTTGGCCTGATCCAACATTGGCGTCTCTTATGTTCTTAGGAGTCCAGTGGCACCTTTAAGACCAACAGAGGTTTATTCAAGGTATGGGCTTTCCTGTGCATGCAGGCTTTTCCCAGTACACGGGAATGGAAGGCAAGCGTTCAAACTTCTAGATACAGGCCGAACACCAAATTACCATGTAACATGATGCAGAGATGCCTGAAGATATTCAAAGTGAAACTAAATAACAAGCTAAGGTTATAAGGTCAGTAGGGAGCCGGTTTGCAGGAAGGGGAACGCCCCCCCTCGCTCCTTGGGGAAGGGGGAGAAACGAAACCAACTCTGTTCTCACTCTCTCTCCCCCTCAGCCTTTCCTCGAAGTAGCCATGGCGGCCGGGGGTCCCGTCCAGGAGGCCTCTTGCTCCATCTGCCTGGAGTTCTTCAGGGACCCGGTGAGGATCACCGAGTGCGGCCACACCTTCTGCCGGGCCTGCCTGACCCGCAGCTGGGGGGAGCCGGGGGCCTCTTCCGAGCCTTTCTGCCCCCAGTGCAGGGGAACAGCTCAGCCCAAGAGCCTCCGGCCAAACCAGCAGCTGGCCAACACGGCGAAAATAATCCAGAAACGCCGTCCTTTGGAAGGGGAGGGGGCGGAAGCAAAGAGGGGAGAAGGGAAGGGGGGCGTCTGCGAGAAGCACGGGGAGCCCCTGAAGTTTTTCTGCCGGGAGGACAAAGCCCCCCTCTGCGTGGTCTGCAGCAAGTCCCAGGAGCACCGAGATCACCGGGTGACTCCCCTGGAGGGGAAGGAGGCTGCCGGGGAGAAGAAGGTAAGAAATCCCTGTGGATCTTCAGTGCGGAATTGCTGTGATTTCTTCCTGCTGTCCCTGTAGCTTCAGTCCGGGAAAAAAGGACTACTCCCTTTAGTCCAAATAGTGGTGGATACTAAACCCATTTAATGTTCGGCCCCACCTGCCTGGCAATGATCTGGGATTCGGTCAGCCTTTAGCTGTCCCCATCCGGTTACCCAGAGTTGGAAACGGGATCCTGGCCTAAGCAGACGCCTCCTTTGGTCTGATCCAACCGGACTCTTCTTGTGCTCCCTTTCACCAGGAGTGGAGGTTTCTCTTGCCTCTAGGTGCCAGACTCAGAATTTCCCTTTAGATCAAGATGGATTAGCCATGGTAGTCTGTCTGTAGCAGTAGAAAAGAGTCCAGTAGCACCTTAAAGGCAGCTGCGGTGGCTCAAGTGGTTAAGACGCTGAACTGCAGGCTGTGGAAGGTCGGTAGTTCGAGACCCGAGTGTGCCGCATGACGTCTCTAGTTCCAGCTCCTGCCAACCTAGCACTTCGAAAGCAAGAAATTGCAAGTAGATAAATAGGTACCACTTTGGTGGGAAGGTAACAGCGTTCCGTGCGCCTTGGTGTTTAGTCATGCCGGCCACGTGACCACGGAAACGTCTTCGGACAGCGCTGGCTCTTCGGCTTTGAAACGGAGATGAGCACCGCAACCCTAGAGTCGGATTTGACTGGCTTTTGAGCAAGGGAACCTTTACCTTTACTTAGCACCTTAAAGACTTAAGAAAATTTGTGGTGAGCTTTCCAGACTCACTGCTCACCTCTTCAGAAGAAGTTCTGAAGAAGTGAGCTGTAACTCAGAAAAAGCTCATACCCTACCACAAATTTTGTTAGTTTTTAAGGCCAGCTCTACTGGACTCGTACGCCTTCCTTTGGATCAGAGCAGCCTTGTTTCTGCTCCTTTGTTCATAATGTCAGTATTCTGTTTGATTCCTTACTCAGCTGCAGGTTGGCTCCCATTCCAATGTCATCATGTTCCCCTTGGAAGCCCTGCCCTCTATTCTGCCAGAAGACGCTCTTGGTCCTTGTGCCCCCAGCCTCCCACTGAAGCAGTACTCTATCCCCACTGGTGGACCTCCTGATGGCACTTAGGGCTCTTTAGCTTGGAGAACTTACAGCGGGAATGCTGTAGCGGCGTATCCTAGTCCAAGAAGTGTCACTGCCAAAATGGGAATATCCGGAGCAGGGATATTCCCAACCTTTTTGAACCCGTGAGCGCCTTTGGATTTCTGACACAGCGTGAGGGGTGCAGCCACAAAATGGCTGCTGCAGGAGGCGGAGACTGCTACAAAATGGCTGCCGCATCTTCCCTTCAGTCAGAAGGGAAAGATGCTTCTGCTGTGGGGGCAGCTGCTGCCAAAGCGATGTTTTTAAAAATCTGTACAGCCAATCAGATCTCAAATGACTAATCAGAAGGCCTCCTCGGCAAATGCCCCGCCATTGCGCCCACAGCACCATGCTGGGACCCCAATGCAAAGGATGTGTTTCCTGTCTCCCCAGCCAGCAGAATGCACTGCATCACTGGCGATGTTGGCCGCACCAGGGTCTAACGTGCCTCAGCCCTGAGACCAATATCAGTACTGGGTCAAATATGTCAACACTGCTCTAAAAGTGTCTTCAGAGCCTTCCCCATGATCATTCAGGGAGTGTAGAAAGGAGAGCTGGGAGGTTTGCAGACTCTAGACTCAGGACAGGAGTTTTTCTGTGTAATGCCACCTGCTGTGGCAGCCATTTTGGAATGGCACTCACCCCCCTCTCTCAAAAGCCCAAAGGTTACCTGCAGGCTAAAAAGGTTGGGGGACCCCTGGAGTAAACCCTCACTTCCACTGTATTTAACGTAGGCATGTTTTGGAGGGCATTTGGGCCAGGATGTTCCCATTCCCTTCATTTTTTTGGCTTCCTTCTCCTGCAGCAGTCCCAGACGCTACTTGAAATCTTGTTCCTAGAGAAAGGGGAGCCCCCAGCTGAGGAGTTAGGAGGGCATTTGCAAATTGTGACAGAGAGAGAGTTCAGACATATGGGGGGAAATAAGACCAATGCAGGTCTTTTGTTGTTGGCATCAGACAGTCGTGGCAGCTAGAAAGAAAAGTGTTTGCCAGAAGCACCAGGAGCCGCTGAAGCTCTTTTGCAAGGATCATGAAGCCATCATCTGCCTGGTCTGTGAGCAGTCCCAGGAGCACCGATACCACGACATCATTCCTGTGAAGGAGGCTTCCCAGGTGTACAAGGTAGGAAATGTGCAAGGTGGATGATGGAGGGGTGCACGTGTGGGAAAGTCCCAGGGCACTTTCCGTAGGGCAAGTCTTGGGCTTTGGGCCCATAGTGGGAGTGGCAACATCTCTCTTTGCTGCCCATCTCCTGGCTTGGCTGCTGCCTTACTAATGGCCCTCCCCTCCTGCTCAGTGGGTGACGCTAAGGTCGCCTGGGCACTCCTCACGGCTGGCTGTGTTGATGTCTGGCCAGTTGATGGGTCTTCCAAGTCACCACGGGGCAGCAGCGTTTTGGTAGGAGGTTTTAACTCCCACCCCCCTCTTTTTCCATTATTAAAAAAGTTGCTATCACAGAGTTTGTGTTAACTCTCTGGCCAGGGGTAGCATGTCTAGTTTGGCCTTTGATGACAGTTTTTTTAATGTTGTAAACTTCTGAAAAGAAACAAACCTCAATTTTGGGACCTTTTCCCCCTAGGATCGGTTATGCAACTGTGTGGAGAGTCTACGGATGGAGTGGAACAAAATCCTGATGTACAAAGACAGTGTAGTGAAGGAAAGCCAAGACCTGCTCGTAAGTGTCAATATTCCTGGGAAGTGAACAGCGACTGGAAACTTAGAGTCCGAAATGCAGAAAGCTCACATGAGAAGGCAGCCTCCTACTATTTGGAATGGCTTGGTTTCCCACAGGAAAGTTAATGAAAGACCCCTTAGAATTACTTGTTCTCCATGTTAAGAGGAGCACCTTTCCTCTCAGATCTCAGCAATGAAAAGGTTAGTTTGCCATACTAGTCTGTGTGTAGACTTGCAAAGCTTCTTCAGCTCTTTTTGCCTTGTGCTTCTGCACATGTTTGAGTTTTCTAAAGTAAAACTTCACTCCATGAAGAAAATAGAGATAATTCATGTGCCTTTGGATGGGTCTTTCCGAAACTTTCTCTTTTCCTACTGAATGTTGATGTGATCCCTGCCAATTTGGTGTAGTGGTTAGGTAGAGAGCCAGTTTGGTGTACAGGTTAGGAATGTGGACTCTAATCTGGGAGAACCGAGTTTGATTCCCCACTCCTCCACATGCACCTGCTGCTGTGACCTTGGGTCAGTCACAAGTTCTCTCAGAGCTGTTCTCTCAAGGCCAGTCCTCGAAAGAGCTCTCTCAGCCCCACCTACCTCACAGGGTGTCTGTTGTGGGGAGGGAAAGCGAAAGGAGATTGTAAGCCGCTCTGAGACTCCTTACGGTAGTGAAGGGGAGGGGTATAAATCCAATCTCTTCTTCTTCTTCCCTGGGAAAGGCAAAAGTGCACTTTTAGTAGGAATCTCCTCAGGGACCTCTTCCCACTGCAAACATGGGCTTTTTTTTCCGTCTCAGAGGCAAACCAAAGGAGAGCGGCAGAAGATTCTGATCAAGTTCAGGCAACTACAGAAGTTTCTGGAGGAACAAGAGAAACTTCTCCTGGCCCAGATGGAAGAGGTGGAGAAGGAGGTGGCCAAGAAAAGGGACCAGCACCTGGCCAAACTCTCCAAGGAACTCTCCTCTCTTCCCAGCCTTATTCTGGAGATAGAGGGGAAGTGTCAGCAGCCAGCCAGTGATCTCCTGAAGGTGAGGGTGTGGCAGGAACAGCCCAGGCTCCAATCCTCTCTGAGCATCCTCCGCTTAGCATAAAAGCAGACAAGGCCAGTTTATGTTGCTAGCAAGTTTTCACCTCTGCACGTGGGCTGCTTTCCCCTCTGCCCCTTTACATCTCCAGCTAGGGGCAGGCTGGACAATCCCAGGCGCCCTGCGAAACTCCACCCCCTGGAAATGCATCTCTCCACCCCGACAGCCCCCAGCACCTGCTTGCTTGATAGTCTGGAGCTACTCGGCTTCCACAGAAGCCAAAGTGTGTTTGTGTCTCAACCAGCAGTCTGGGGAACCCCCGTGTAAGTAAAGCCAGGTTCACAGGTAGCTCTTTCAGAAAAAACCCCAGCCATCACGAATGAGGGTCACATGCAAGACTTTTCACAGCACATTTTCAAAGGATGATGTCTGGGGATAGGGAATGTCCCTTATACTGTCTGCTTGCAGGTGGGCACACACCAATGCACGCAGACACACGACAGTGACAGCAGGTGGTTACAGGAATGGCATCCACACACCTGTCCCTGGCACCGCTGTGCTTGCCGCTGTCAGCCCATGACAGCTGTGCAGACGAGATCACGTTGATACCCAGACCCTCCCTTCCCTTTCATTGCTGAGCCATGTTGCAATGCTGCAGGAGACAGGGGGGGAAAGTCTTTCAGAGGCCTGAAAGGTGACAGAGTTTGGCTCCGCTTCTCTCAGTCCCCGTGGGCACCGTCCTCTCCCCATCTCTGGGCTTTTCCCAAGTTTTAAAGAGAACGGCAGTGGGTAGATTGCTGTAGCGTGGTGACGTTCTAATCTGCATTAATTCCTAGCTCATATTTTAAAGGAAATGTTGGTTGCACATTGCCAGTTATAACGCTGCAACAATAAGGACTTGATTATTATTTTTTAAATGAAAGCTAGGGATCGATGTGTTGTTACAATGCTAGTGAAAGCTACGTATTATTTTAAAGCCTGGGAAATGCCCTCCAGTGGAAAGAAGGGAAATCACATTGCTGGGAATGTCTTTGTGTCTGGAGATAGCTACAAGGCAGACACACCCTAATCTGAGGTGAAAATGTGAGGGAAAATCCCTTTGTGAAAGTTGCCACTGTTGAGTTGTCAAAGCAGATCTCCCAGCTCTGCTCTGAAATGGCTCTGCTTTGTCTGCTGATATTAACCTCACAGTTATTTCCTCCCACTTCATGAAGATCTACCTCAGTCTTTGAGTGAAGTCTGCTAGCTGGACACAAGCAAAAAGCCAGAGTGCAGAATCTTCCAGGGTCTGAGGGGGTCTTCCTGGTCTGGCCTTCTAGCAGGCATTGAGGTCTCTCTTCTCTTTCTCTCTCTCTGCCTTTCTTCTTTAGGATGTCAGAAGCACCTTGCAGAGGTAAGTGAACCTTTAACTTTAACCTTCTTAATGCTGGGATTGGACTGGGAAGCCGGTGAGGAACATGGTCCTTTCTGGATCATGGCTGAGGGCCAAATCAGGTATAACTATGAGCGTGGATCTCCATCTGTTTGTCAGTGGGAAACAGGTTCTGCAGAGTCCCATGAATAATCGTGTACTAAAATGGGTGTGTGTGTCTGTGTTGGCATCCAGCTGTTCATCTCTAGAACAAGGGTCCCCAACCTTTTGGGGGCTTGCAGGCACCTTTGGAATTCTGGCATGGTGTGGTAGGCACAGCCCACAAATCACTTTCACAAAATGGCTGCTGCAGGGAGTGGAGCCAGTCACAAAACAGCTGCCGCAGCATACCTTCAGTCACACAGTGAAGATCCTTGTGTTGTGGTGGCAGCTGCTGTCAAAGTCACATTTTAAAAAACACAAAAACCAGGAAAAGACAGAGTTTGATTCTCTTTCACTACATTTATTCCGCAAAATGCCAGGTGGTAAGCTTTTTTTGGTCTAAGTAGTGCCCTGGTTGGCATTGGAGCTGGCTATGGTGGTACTCTAGTGATTGAGCGTTATGATGACCTGACTGCACAGTCCAGTTCCATGTGTTCCGTGTGTGAAGGGGCGTAATGTGAGACAATGCATGAGGAAGCGGGAGTTGCCATGGTATTCCATGTTTCCATCGATGTTCCTGCCACCACATGGCACTTAAATGTGCTGTACATACTCAGATGAGGCCTTGGCTGTTTCCACTGTGTCAGTTTGCCCAGCATTGAGTGCTACAGGGAATCAGGAATGGCAGCAGTTCCCCCACCCCCCATGCTTTTTGACTTTTTGTTTTTCAGGTCTGCCATTGGCATCTTGGTAGAATCATACATCAGTTACCATTCCAAGAAAAAAAAAACCTTGGGAAATCCCCCCACCCCACAGTGCAAAGTGGGGGATGGCTGCCATGGTGACAGGGGCGAGGAAACCCACTATTGGGAAGCCATGTAGCCACAGTGCAAGGCTTCTGGAAGAAAGCCTTTGTCATTAACCCGCTATGGGGAATACATGGCTTGATTAGAATATGTGTGCTTCTGCTTTCAGTCTCCCGAGGTAGATTTAGAAGAAGGAGAATTGTCATGTGACATTGGGGAATTTCAGACAGGCGATAGATTCCGGAAGGGAACTGGTTCTCAAACGGGTTCTGGTCTGTCATTTCAGACAGAACCCGTTTGAGAACCGGTTCCCTTCCAGAATCTATTTGCCATTTCATACACAAATGCTTCAGTCCCGTTTAGGAAACGGGACTGAAGTGTTTTACCTGTCATCCACTTCCAAGTGGTCTCCAGTGCCCTCTCCCGGTTCCGATACGCTTTTTCCCTGCCTTTTTTCGCCCACGCGGGCGATCTCCGGCTCTTTTTTCTTTTGAATGCTCGCTTTATAGCGCTATAGCGCTATAACGGAATAGCATTATATCAATCCCATTGGAATGCATGGAGTGTTTTTTATATTGATATAGCGCTATAAATTGAAGGGTTTTAAAAAAAAAATTGATCACCCGCGCGGGAGGAAAACGGCGGGAAAACAAAGCGGTGCAAGTCTGAAATGCCAAACCGCTTCTGATCCGGCTCATTTCCAGTAGGGGCAAGCCCTGTGTTAAATGGCAGCCCTGTACCGGTTCACGTCAAAACGGATGATTGCCGGCTTGAAACTGGGTGAAACTGGGTAATGTGAAATTCCTCAATATTGTGTCAAAGTTTCCACACACCCCTCTCCTGGTGGCAAATGATTAAAAACAACAGGAGTGAGGATGCTCCTGAGGACAGTGAAGTTACGTGAAACGTTTTCTTCCACTCTCAGCCACACTCTTATAAGCCTGCTGAATTTAAGAACATGAATAGAGCCTGCTGAATACATCCAATGGTCCCAGCAGCATCCTGTTTCACACAGCGGCCAACTGATGCCCCTGGAATGCAAACAAACAAGGCCTGTGGGCTGAGGCCTTCCCTGCTGCTCCCTCCCAAGCACTGTTCTTCAGAGGCTTCCTGTCTTTGGGTGCGGAGGCTCTCTTCAGTCCCCAAATATAGTAGCCGCTGATGCACCTCTTGACTATGAATCTGTCTGATCCCCTGTGCTTGTGGCCATCACTACCTTAGCCTGCTATAGTGAACTCCACAGTTTAATTACTGGTTGAGTAAAGAGGTGTGTCTTTTTGTCTCTCCCAGACTACTACTCAAGAACTCCACTGGGTGCCCCTAAATTGTAGTATTGTGGGAGAAGGACACAAAGACGTCAATGCAGTGTCCAGGATATTCTGCCCCCCTCCATTGTATTCTCGCAAGAACCCTGTCT